AAATTTATTTTAAGGAGAAATATCGATTATTTCTAACCTTAGGGATGAGGTATGAAAGGATGAATTGTGAAGAGTAATGATAAACGGAAAAATAAAATTGTCCAGGGATGGGAATCGAACCCACAGTGTTCCGCTTACCGGGCAGATGCCATGTCCACTAGGCTATCCTGGACATATTTTTCCGTTCGTAAATAATACATAAAGTAATTTATAATACAATATAATGCGGCTTGTGATTGTAAAACGACATTTAAAGATTATCCCGCATGAGTTTCTTTTCAACGAAAAATCAAAATTTATTTTAAGGGGAGAAATATCGATTATTTCTAACCTTAGGGATGAGGTACAAAATACTATATATATCATTACTCTTCACAATTCATCCTTTCGTACCTCATCCCTAAGGTTAGAAATAATCGATATTTCTCCTTAAAATAAATTTTGATTTTTCGTTGAAAAGAAACTCATGCAGGATAATCTTTAAATGTCGTTTTACAATAATTTATAATACATCAACAAAAAGGCTTTTATTAGGGCCCATTGCCCTGTATAGATTCGCCATACAACAACAAAATAATACAGTAATTTTTTCTCCCTTTCTCCATGTGCACGTGAGCCTTTGTTTGAAAAGGGATTTATTTACACATCTGTTCTAAAACTTTCCTCACTATCTCTTTTGTGTATGAATCTATTAACAATTGATCTGTAGAAATTATAGAGTTCTATTGCTATATTTTTCTTTTCTGAAATAGTTCTCAGCGTCTGCAGTGGGTTGCTAAATCTAATTTATAATACAATATAATGCGGTTATGATTATAGAACGACGTATAACAAGTTTTACCGAAAATGTTTATTTTTACAGAACGAAAAATCGTAATTTTAATTATTTTAAGGAGAAATAACGACTATTTCTATCCTTAGGGATGAAATATGAAAGGATGAATTGTGAAGAGTAATTCCATTCCCTGGACACTTTATTTTTCCGTAATCATTACTCTTTATAATTCATCCTTTCATAGTTCATTCCTAAGGATAGGAATAGTCGTTATTTCTCCTTTAATAATTAAAATTACGATTTTTCGTTCTGTAAAAAAGAAACATTTGCTGTAAAAACTTGTTAAACGTGTTTCTATAGTTGATAATGTTGAAACTTGAGTAATACATTTATTAAATACAATAAAAATAAAACGCTTATCTTAGATCAATCAGAAAGCATCGTCAAAATAATGAATTTCAAAAATAAACACGATTGATCCAAGATAGGGTTTTTAAAATTCAATATATATTATAATATTTAAAAAAACAGGCCAATACAAATTATATAATGGATAAATAAAAATTTTGTTATTACTTTCCAGGGGGATTTGAGATTAAAAAAAAAACTTGGAGAGAATTTGTGGAATTTTGTTTTTCTTGAGGTCACAAACTATTTCTTCAACTAGTAAGTTTTAGCTACCAGCACTCTTCGAGAGGTTTCGGGTCTTTCCTTTTCTTAGCCCCAGTTAAAAATTAAACACAATAATATATAAAACATTGCTGACAGTGTTGGAAGGAAAGCTCCGGGGGAAGAGATCGAGGGGAAGGAGACGACAGGGATACACATACGATCTAAAACAATGGACTGGACGACACACCTACGAGGAGAGGATGGCGTAGGAAGTATGGAGAGACCATGTGTCCCACCCTCAGTAGAAGAAGGTACTGAATGAGGGAGATATGGAGAGACCATGTGGCCCACCCTCAGTAGAGGAAGACACTGAAGAAGGAAGATATGGAGAGACCATGTGGCCCACCCTCAGTAGAGGAAGACACTGAAGGGGGGAGATATGGAGAGACCATGTGACCCACCCTCAGTAGAGGAAGGTACTGAAGAAGGGAGATATGGAGAGACCATGTGGCCCACCCTCAGTAGAGGAAGACACTGAAGGGGGGAGATATGGAGAGACAATGTGGCCCACCCTCAGTAGAGAAAGACACTGAAGAAGGGAGATATGGAGAGACCATGTGGCTCACCCTCAGTAGAGGAAGACACTGAAGAAGGGAGATATGGAGAGACCATGTGGCCCACCCTCAGTAGATGAAGACATTGAAGGAAGGAAGGGATATATAAATATATGTGAAAAACAATTTGAAAATATATATGACCAGGCGCTTACGATACGATAATAGAGCCATTTATATATAATTCTTATCAATCCATAAATTACAAACGCGTGTTATGGGCACAAGAGACATATTTATAAAATGGAATATTTAAAAAATTATAATTTCATTAACACAAAATAATAAGAATTCGAGCTTGGTGATCATAATAGCGCATGCCTAAAAGATTTTATTCCCTAAGATTGAAAAGAACCCATGATCAAAGCTACATGGATAAATTTAGAAAAGCAAATCTAAACATTCCAAACAAAGAAAAAAAATGTGGAAAGAATTTATTTTTAAAAATGGGGTTACATCAGAGAGTGAAGGTTTAATGTTATTTGACCACCCCCCACGCGCCTGGGTATTTATAGATGGCGCCGGTAAATTTGGACACCACGTGGGTTCGAATCCCGCTGGACTTGCCGGTTTTGTGACTCCTTCCGGATTCTTTTCATAAATGGAACCAAAAGAGGCACATCTCCTTTTAAATATCCATTAAACCAATACAATTATATTTATCACCCGATTAAAAATCCCATGTTTATTTGTGCCTTAAAAAACAACAACAAAAATCTTTATTAAGACCTTTTAGTCTTATACAGATTCTCCAAGCAGAAATGTAGGATACATACATGGAGAACAGTAATAGTACCTTAATGGTAATAGTGCGGCATTTACTTTTATATATGATCTGAAGCTCTCCTCTATTTCAAGTAGTTGAGAAAACACAGCATTAAAAGGGTAGAAGAGCTTGTGACTCGTGGCTCGAGAAGATCACGCCACGGGCAGAGAGAGAATAAACATATCTTTCTTGGAAGTCATTTAAAACTCAACGTCTAAGTTTATTTTTGGAAAGTTAAGCTTCTTGAAACTTTACAAGGCGAGTTTTTCAGTGTTATTTTCTACGCGACACTATGATATTTTTATACAGGAAAAATATATAAAGACAATCAAACTAATAGATTAGTCACGAACAAGACACCTTTGTTGGCTGGTATTGTGATCAGGGTGCACGGACCGATCTGATCTGCTCCATGGACAAAACACTGCCACCAATAGATTATTATGGGTAAATTGGAGGAAAATGAATTTATTATACTTGGTTTACTACGGATTATATGCAAATGAAGATTTAAAAAAAGTAAAAATATTTGTGTCTTATACGTTTCTTCAATATTTGACTATTCATGCTAAAATTTTAACAGAATTAAATTATATTTAAATAGAATAAAGGCAGTGGAGGATTCAAGTTGTTTTTGTGGTATTGAGGAACAAACCTCAAGACATCTACTGATCGAATGCCCAGCATTTCAAGATTATAGAAGGAAGAATGAACTAGTTGTTTGTGAAGTTAACGATTTGATTTCCGATAAAAAAAATCATATTTAAAGTTCAATTCATTTTGTAAATACATTCTAAACTTCTACAAAATCTGGATCTCTAGTGTTTTCATGCGTTGAATAATGTAAATAACTTATGTAAATAAACTTTTCTCGTTGTTTGGCGCAAGTATCCCTTGCGGGATATAGCGCTTTGGAAATAAAATAATTGTAATTGTAATATAGAGGTAAAGTCTGGAGAACGGGTATCCATCATATTTACATATAAGGGGAAAATTCAAATTAACCACATACTGGACTAATTTACTTATTTTTTCAGGCAGAAATTCATTAGGATAATATTGCGGCTTCATGTTTCATGGTGGAAACAAAATTCTTTCGGTGAACATTCTTTGGAGCAGAACATAGATGAAGTTTCAGTTAAATTTTGGCTATTGAAGGCCTATTCAAATTATGCAAATAACTAATCAATCTACATACATCATGGAGAAATAAATTAAGAAAGTTTCATATGTTAATGTTGTCGATCGTCTGTTTTCTTTAAATCTTTTTTTAAGGAAACAGAAGCAATTTTGTTCACACTTTGGTTATTTCGAATGTCTTCAAAAAAAGTCACTGTAATATATTTCAGAGTTATTGTCTGAGTCCCGATATACATGCTGAAAGGTACAACTTCCTCAAGTTTTGTCCATGAGTGCATATTGATTATCTCGTGTGTCTTCAATAAAGGTCACTGTAATATCTTTCAAAGTTATTGTTTGAATCCCGATATACATGCTAAAAGGTATAACTTCCTTAGGTTTTGTCCATAAGTGTATATTGGTTATCTCGTGTGTCTTCAATAAAGGTCACTGTAATATCTTTCAGAGTTATTGTAAGAGTCCAGATATACATGCTGAGAGGTACAACTTCTTTAAGTTTTGCCCATAAGTGTATATTGGTTATCTCGTGTGTCTTCAATAAAAGTCACTGTAATATCTTTCAGAGTTATTGTCGGAGTCCGATATACATGAGGTACAACTTCCTTAAGTTTTGTCCATGAGTGTATAAGAGATAGTTTATTTTACAACCTTTGCGATGGGGTTTTGTATGCAAATTATTATATGAAGAACAACACCCATATTTTAACAACAATATTTTGAATTATTGTTAATAAATAAAATCCTTTTGTTCCTTAAAATTGTATATCAGTGTATTTTGTAAATTCTGTTGGAAGATTGCTTCTTATAATGGTCTTCGTAAAGTTCTCAAGAAGCTGCGACTTTGTAAAATTTTCACGCAATTTGTGTAAAGAATTCTGTGCTTGGCCTTCTTAAATTATATTCGCCCAGTTTATTTACTTTGTTGACCTAGAAGGTTAATGAAGGGACTTACAGTTGTCGTTATAAACGTGCTGTCCTTAAGACTTTGTTTTATTTCTAAGACAAGGCAATTGAAAATCCAATTCTTAAAAGATAGAATATGGTTTCACATGCTACTAACCAAAGTGTTTGATTTTCGAGCGAAAAAAAAAATTGGTCCATGATCGAACCCACGACTTTCATGTTATTAGCACGACGCTCTAACCAACTGAGCTAATGGGCCGACAGAAAGGAGGAACCTGTCAGAATTCTTAAGGTGGACCCCAAATCTTGGTGGACTCAAGCAAAATTAGCTTTTGGAGGATTTTACAGCGCTGCCAGGTAGAAATTGATGATTCCTATGATGCTGGTCGTTTAGAATAATTGATATAGTATATCATACAATATAATGCGGCTTATGATTGTAGAACGACATTTGAAAATTATCCCGCATGTGTTTCTTTTGAACTAAAAATTGAAATTTATTTTAAGGAGAAATAACGATTATTTATAACCTTAGGGATGAAGTATGAAAGGATGAATTGTGAAGGGCAATGATAAACGGAAAAATAAAGTGTCCGGTTTTCCGTTTTTCATTACTCTTCACAATTCATCCTTTCATACTTCATCCCTAAGGTTAGAAATAATCGTTATTTCTCCTTAAAATTTCGATTTTTCGTTCAAAAGAAACATTTGCAGGGTAATTTTCAAATGTTGATAGAGTATATGCGAATATTTTCTAAATCTCAACTGATCTGTTGAAGCTCTTTAACAATTTCGCATATCATTATTTACGGAATGTCCTTTGTAGTCACTTTGTAACGACGGACAAGCAAGCATCCACCACATGACCTAGAGATGGAGATGGTAACAGGTCATGAGTACCATACCCTAGGTATCATCCAAAACTTAGAACTTAATTTTTTTTATCTCTTCGTCTACGCTCATTATTTCATACTTCGTGGATCTTTTTATACTGAATTTTACAAGTTATATCGCCTAAAATGGCCGATGAACAGAAAGGTAAATTTCGTTTCTATTCAAACATGATTCTAAGCTATTCTATATATGTTATCGCTCTAGAAGGAAAGGGAAACCATCTCGATATTTTAACAGCTACCTTAGAGGATATAAATATAAATATTTTTTTATCAAAGTTCTCTTTAAGAAGTTGTAGGCGGCATTAAGCGATAAAGAGCGAGATAAAAGAAGATGGAGCTCTGGAAGAGGTCTCTTGTGATTAAAGAAAAGATCAATGGTAAGTTGAAAGGAAGACGAAGCGCGAGAGGCGGTGATAGGAGAGGCTAGGGGGGGGGGGCATCAAGGACGAAGCGGTGTGACCGGAGCATCGATTGGGCCGGTCGATTCGCACAGAAGGGCGACAATATGGATGTCGCCCATCTTGGACTGTTAGCTCACGTTGGTCCTTACAGCCGCGATTCCCACAGAAAGGAGACATTATTGGTGTCGCCCATCTTGGACTGCTAGCTCACGTTGGTCCTTACAACCGCGATCCACACAGAAAGGAGACAATATGGATGTCGCCCATCTTGGACTGCTAGCTCACGTTGGTCCTAGCATCCGCGATCCATTGAAATCTCGTGGCCCAGCTTTATCTCAAAATAAAGAACGGTTACAAGTATAGTTCTCGGGTTTTAAATCGGATCAGAGAGATATTTATGTTTATTTTATCATAAAAGACAGACATGTTTCAAGATACTATTTATGGATGGTACTTATCTTCTTATACCATGTCTAGAAGCCCATTTTTCTCTAGTTTTGATATGGTAGTTAAAGAAGAGTAGGATTCATACGGAGTATTTGGATACTTGAATTCCTGTTGATGGGAACATCTGAGGCACACAAAGGTAGGGATACGACTTTTCCTTTTAACATAAAGCTGGGCTTAGTAAGACAGCCTTCATGTCTAGGGTGGCCCTACCAGGAGTAGAAGACTCCAGATATACTATCCTGCCCAGGGTTACCTCTCCATTATTCTGAGACAGCTAACAGAACTCAGGGAGGTTTGAATGATTTAAAATGTTTACATAAGACTCCGAACTTATTTTTAATACTGATTATTTACGGGTTCAAAAAGTAACATTGATACTAACGGGAAATTAACAAGTGTAAAAACTGGAACTCTATTTAGAGTCTTCAAAATGTTAATAAATTTATTGTTAAAATGTATTATACACTGGTCCGCAAAATTAAAGGAACAACATATTTTTTTCATTTATCTTAAATTTTATGGAACATTTATCAATGAAATTTTATACACAAATTTATTATTCGATTATTGATTAGAATACCCGAAATAAAAAAATTCTAACACGTATTTTATGCAAATTAGCAGGTCAAGCAATGATCTTCTTGCAGTCAGTGCATAAATATCTTGAATATTGTTGTTAATATGGGGTGTGATCGCCTTTAACTGATAGACAGGCTCTACATCGGTGACCCATACTAAGAATTAGGGAGTTTATCAGCTCCTGTGGAATCAACGCCTACTCTTGTGTTAAGGCTGTTTCTAGCTCATGAGTGTTTCTAGGAGGGGGTTGGAGGGATGAGATCCGCCATCCTAGGTTGTCCCATACATGCTCAATGGGATTTAGGTCTGGGGATCGAGCTGGCCAGTTCATCCGAGCAATTGCATGGTTAAGGAGAAAGGTGTCGACCACACCAGCCCTATGTGGACGGGCATTATCATCCATTAGAAGAAAGTTTTCTCCCATTTCCAATGCTTGAGGCATCACATATGTTGCCGAGATCTCGTCCCGATACCTCTGTCCAGTCAGGGTTCCTTGACGAAAAATATGGAGTGCTGTGCGACCGCCCAAGAAGATTCCAGCCCAGACCATAAAATCTTGGCTTCTGTAGGGATCCCTTCCAACCATTTACCGGGGATTATTTCTGGTTCCTACCTCTCTCCAGACAAAGACACGACGAGAATCGCTGTTTAGAGAGAATCTGGACTCATCAGTGAACATTGCACGCCTCCATTCATCTGGATTCCAGGCGACATGTTGTCTGCACCAAAGTTTCTTTGCTCTCTTTTGAGGTGGTGTCAATGGCACACAAATTATGGGTCGTCGAGCATAGAGGCCTTTCTTGTGAAGCCTTCTGCATATTGTATCAGTTGATACTAAGACTCCTGTAGCTGCATTGAGGTCACTTCGTAGTTGCGATGCTGTCATTCTTCTATTGCGACGCACAAGGAGACTCAAATAACGGTCTTGATTTAACGTTGTGACCCTTGGCCGTCCTTGTCCGGGTGTTCTGGCAACATTAGCTGTCGTTTGAATTTTTTTCCAAAGCCTTGAGACAGCGTTTCTTGTCACTCCAAGCCATCTTGCTACTTCTGCCTGTGATTGGCCTGCTTCCATCCTTCCAATAGTTTGCCATTTTTTTTCTTGTGATAAATGTTGCCTATAAGCCATGAAAACTTTAAAAAACAAAAAGGTTCAATAAAAATCTAGTGGAGCGTAAAATTAGGACACTTTGAGAAAGACTCAGGTACGTGCTGGAGGCGGAGTCAACGTAGACGGTGGTATTTTGCATATTGGGAACAACTTTATTTGTTTTTCTGTTTTACATACTCTCTTGATTCATGGAAGCTTCTGAATATACCAAAACTTGATATATATCCCTTAATATAACTTTTCTTTTTCTTAAACATGTGTTGTTCCTTTAATTTTGCGGACCAGTGTAAAATATCAAAAACCTTTCGCAATAAATTTCTTTATTAAAAACAACGCTGTTTTTAGTAAAGAAACTTCTTGCGAAAGAGGTTTTTGATCTTTTATAATATCAAATCGCAATTTATCCTATATCTGATTAAAATGTATCCTGAAAAAATGTAAATTTATATGACCAAATTCTGAGCCATAAAAATCTGCCCTATATTTGACCTACAGTGACATTCGCTGATATCTCTCAAGGTCATTTGAAGGTGGCGAATTACTTTAAAGGAGTAAGAAGAAGATTGATTGGAATCTAATTAAAACTCCATTAACGAATCGATATGAAATAGAAAGCCAAGTAAACAAACAAACAAAAATAAATCTAAGAAAACAGCAGCCTGTTGCCATGGTGATGACATCATCTGGATTTGATTGGTTGGCGCGTGGGTGGTGGAATTCTGGGCTGCGCGGATTGATCTGGACTTGGCATGCCGTCCCACGTCCTGCCGATTGTCCCGTCCCCCGGGCCTGCATGCTGATTGGTCTATCCCCAACACAGGGTCCACTGAGGATTATATTGTAGAACGTGATGGGTGGAAAGAGATTACAAGTAACATCTTGTCCATAAACAACCATCAGTATCACTTACTACACATGAAACTCCTTCACCTCTTACTTGTGAGAGTTTGATTGAGGAATGCCCAGCATCTACACCAAAATGTAAGGTAGAAAAATTCCCAAAACAGGAGGATTATATTCTAGAACGTGATGGGTGGACAGAGATTACAAGTAACATCTTGTTCTTAAACAACCCTGGTATCACTTACTACACATGAAACTCCTTCATTTCTTACTTGTGAGGCTTTGATTGTGGAATGCCCAGCATCTACACCAAAATGTAACGTAGAAAAATGAGAGAAGACAAACTTCAGAATGACACACACACACATGGCAATTTATTTTGATTGAAAATAATTACCAATATATTTAACAACAGAAACCTTCTCGGTAGTATACTGGACAACTTCCCAAAGTTTCATGGCGATCAGATGCGTGGTTTGGTCAGGTATAAAGGGGGAACAGGGAGACAGAAATCGATTTATATATATATTGTAACGTAGAAAATTAGGAAAGACAAACTTCAGGATGACAAGGCAATTTATTTAGTGTGTGCAAGAACAAAATCAACATTTATAAGATAAGCAATGAGAGAGGTTTCCAGAGTATAGCAAAATATAGATCATATTATGTATAAATATTGATATTAATAATATGTACATATATTTATTTTTTTATACCGTAGCCAAGGTTCCTGAAGAGAACGGAATGTACATATAATAAATACTTTACAATATATATAAATAAGATAAAAGAAAGACAAGGAGAGAGAAAATATCTGAGTATAACAATAGCAAAATTAATTTTCTAAGAATAAAATTATAAATATTTTGTTATAATATGTTAATTGTTCATAAAGGGCACATCTTGGATTCAATAAATAATCTTTTATTTCCGATATTTCGATGGGCTAAACGACCATCTTTTTCTAGGATCTCATCCC